TGGTAACGATTCATGGCTAAAGAGTGATAGGAACAGAGGAGACGAAATAGAGATGATGATGGAGATTTTGAGAGAGAGATTGCGGAAGCTATATACACATACTGACATAAATATAGCTTGTTGGGGCGGATAGGGTGGCTTCACGGAAGGTTCGAATACTAGCAAATCGCGTGGAGGAAAGAGGAGTCAGATTAGCCTTTATAAAATTGCTTAGTGCTCTGTTTCCACGGGATCGGATCCTCTCCTAATCTTTTTTCTTATTTTCGGCACCTCGTGATGGACCCATGATGCAGATGACATGACATTAATGGCAATAAAGTTTGAGGATGGTAATCATGAACGTGGTGATATAGAAGGAGCACAATACTTCTAATATAACATACCTAAAAACCCATTACAATATATTAGAGGTTCAATGATAAGAGCCCGAACTAAAGCCATAAAGCAAGCTTTGTTCAGTCTTATGCAAGAAGTTCAAGAGCTTGGAGAGTATTGGAGCACTCCTCTCAAGCCTAAAGGAGAGCATTTATACGTGTATAATGTGCTTAAAATCCAAATTCATCCCATAATTTTAGAATCACATCTCCTAAATTATATGCTGAATATTTTATCATTATTTTATGTTATTTCTCCTTTTAATATTAAGAAATTAGGGTTTTAATTTTAGGATATATTCTTTTCTATGAGCCTATATAAATTAGGCATGCTTGTAAAAAAAACAAAAGTTGAATGAAATTATTCATTTTAGAGTTTATAACTCTTGTGAGCTTTAGTGCTTTGTGGTGGCATCCCGTGTGAGAAATAGACGTGATCAAAATCGTGATCAACTCTTGTGGTGTGTTCAAAGATTGGAGTTCCTAGAGGCAGGTGTTTTAGAGGATTTTTTTCTTAATCATTATCGCATTGTTTATTTCATATCTTTCTTTATTTTTGTCATAAATTTCGTCTCTTTCTTTTTTTGTTCTTGTGTTTTTGTTGTGTTAGGGTTCTGTCCCTAAACTAACACGATTCTGTTTCTGCGTCCCCTATCACCTCGTCTCATTACCACCATTTTTAATTATAAAGTGAAAAGATTTAGTTATTTTTTCCCAACAAATTTAATTTTTTTGGCAAAACAAAAATTATCATATAAAAAAATTTAAACAATTAAAATTTGATCTCCACAATTCACAGTTGTCTGTCATTATTAAATTAAAATTTTTATTTATTTATTTTATTGCAATTGTACACTGTACAAGTTAAATTTTTAACAGTTTATAACTATTTGTTTTGTTTCAATTAGTTCTGGAAGTTAAACAAATTTATCTTCTAATATTAAGTTTGAGTTTCAAGATATGTAGTTTTATAAAATCTAATTTTACTCGTCTTTCTTCCTTAAGACATCAATTAGATGATCATTAATAATAATGATTTCATATCACCGGAGTTCGACCTAGTGGGAACATTTTTTATCTAATCTAAGGGTGAAGATGGGACGAGGAAAAGAAAGAAGAAGAAGAAAAAGGACATGGGGGAGCGTCACGAAGAAGATACCCTTTCATTTCCTCGTGTTTATTTATGACCACATTTTTTGAAGTTAAGATGTAAACATATTTATGAAATTTTTCTTGAAAATTTTGTTGGTATTTTTAAATTAATAATGAAACACAAATACATGTTAACTTCATAAAAAATTCAGCCTTTATCAATCCATTAAAAAATAGCTTGGCAGTCAAATTCTCCTTAAAACTTAACAATCAATGTTATGCCATTTTAATAGATTGGATAGGGTTGACTTATTTTATAAAGTTAATAAATACTCATATACTAAGGATGTTATAAACTTCTAAAAAAGGTTTTTGAATATTTTTACACTTTAATGGTAACCTACCTTTTTTTTTAGAATTATTGAATTGAATTAGATTTGAATATAGTCTAATTCAACTCTAGATGGTTTTTATAAGAAAGTTTTCAAAATTCAATAATTCCAGCATGAGATCTTATGCCTAAGAAGTCATGACTCCTTCTAGTAGGATTAATTAGTCTCGCGAGCATGATCTTTTCTTCATGAAAAAGACATGAAAAGATAATATCAGTGGGAGTTAAAGGCTTGGACGCGGCGAACAGCATTTTATAAAGCGGCCAAACTTGACCGTATGGATTCCATTGACTATAAGGTGGGACGAAATTGGTTTTTGGTCTGACCAAAATAGTGTGCGTTTCATAAAATTACATCATTATATCCTCTGTGCTTGAAAATAATAAATCGTTAAACACATTTTCGAAATCAACACATGACAAAATTTCTGACTTCTCGCTGGCTATTTCTAATATGAATCTGTCACTATTGTGGGGAGTGATTATTATTCAGAAGAAGTGATCATTTCGAAAGGTTTTCAAGGGTTTATGGTCTGATATTTAAGAAAACATTCAGGTCCAGATTGTAATTCTAGAAGCTTTTCTTTATGATACTTGACAGGCATTCTTTCTCGTGTTATGTTGACCAGGTTAAGTTCTATCCTCCCTTGTACAGGAGGATGGCAATGCTAGTGTTTAACATAAGAGAGGGAAAGAACAGCAAGCTTTGAGTGCTGCTAGTGTTTAAAATATTCTGGGATTCGACGTAGCGACAATCCCAGAAACGGCGGCAACAAATAGCGGCGCCACTGCAACTAAAACAAAAACAAAAGATGAAAAAAATGACGACATTGGCAAAGCGCGTGGAAGCAAGACCAGTCAGAGCAGCCGTTTAAGGCTGCTCATTCCCCTGTTTCCCTGTGTTTGTTTGCATGCATATTTTTTTTTTATTGAATTAAATTTAAGCATGGTTGAATTCAATTAGAGGTAGTTTTTGTAAAAATATTTTTTACATTCACAATAAAACATGAGATTTTATGCTTAATCAGTCATGACTAGTCCTAAGTTATGGGACAATTTTTTAACAAAATTAATAATTTAAAAATAATTTAATTATTAAAAAATGAATTATATAAATTTATTATATGACACTTTGAGTTGAAAAGTTGAAAAAATTGGATTTGAGTTTTAAAAAATAATCTAATAAATTTAATATTCAAAATTTTTAAAAAGTACAAAATATGAACGGAATGGCGTGAAAAATCTAAAACTCCAAACTCATTATATAAAATTTTCTCAAACGAGATCAACATATGCCAATTAGAAGTGTTCAGCTTATACTTATCTCGATTGACTTGGTATCATCTTGATCATATTGGGATATGTCTTGTCCTAGCCTGAAAATAATTGAAATAAAACTTTGAGGGATGGAATAAAAAAGAGATTCAGGATAGGATGAAATATGAGATTACCATCGAGATATCCCATCCCATTCTATCTTGAATATTATATATATATATATATATATATTTTTTTTTATTTTAAAAAAATACATTAAATACATTAATATATTAATAATGTATATTTATATTAATTATATCAATTATAATTTCAATACGTGTAGTTTTTATTTAAAATTAAAGTTTTTATATTGATAATCTTAATGACATAGAGTAAACAGGTAATATCTTTCTTTATAATATATTAATTATATTAATATAATTTATTTTTATATCTATTTATTTAATAACTTTAATTTATATCATATTTCTTGCTTTATTCTTGAAAGAATAATTAGTTTAGCACATATCAATTAAAGTAAAAGAATAATGATTTGATATTATGTTTGACTGGCTTGTTGTTGCTGCTTCTATATTCTAAAGATCACTTGTAATTGCTATTAGAATGTGTAGTTATAATTAATATAATTTAATAATTGATTTTAAATTGTTATGATTTATGTACTTGTATTGTTTTGATTTTAAACTTAATAAATCATATAATTTAAACTTTTAATAAATGTTATTATTCAAATCTTTCTCCAACATTATTTAATTTATCGGAATAACAAGATGTTCCGATCTTGTCTCCATTTTTAATGGGATAAGATGACTTTCAAGACAAGAAGGATTACAAGATAAAAATTTAGTCTTAGACTTCTTTTCAAAAAAAGACATAGGACACCTGTTCCGGTCCGATCCCATCCTGTGAACACTCCTAATGCCAGCCCTTATGTGGCTTCTTATCTAGCCAAAAAAAACAAAACAAAGATTAATTAGTCTTATAGGCATAGTATTTGCTTTATGAAAAAGACATGAAAATATACTGATTAATTAATATTAGATGGAGTTAAAGTTTTAAAGACTTACACGTGGTAAACAGTACAATGGAGGGGTATATAAAGCGGCCAAACTTGGCCGGTTAATTGATTCCATTGACTTTTAAGTGCCACGAAATTCACTTTTTGTTTGACAAAAATAGTGTGTTTTATAAATTACACCATGTTATCCTCTGTGCTTGAAAATAATAGTAAATCGTTAAACACATTTTGCAAATAAACACAAGACAAAATTTCGTCTCACTTCTCGCTGGCTATTTCTAATATAAATCTGTCACTATAGTGGGGGGTTGATTATTATCATTCAGAAGAAGTGATCATTGCCAAAGGTTTTCGAGGATTTATGGTCTAATGTTTGAGAAAACATCCCGGCCCAGATTGCAATTCTAGAAGCTTTTCGACCTCAAATTCCCAAAAGTTAAGACAGAACACAGTTTTATAAGAAAATAAAGATCGACTTATAAATATGCCACTTATTTTCGCATGATTCTGAATGCAAATTAGATTTATTTATTTTCTTTAATTTAGATTATTTAGATCTCATCAATTTTAATAAGTTGATATTTTAACACAATTTTAAAGAGATCGATTGTAGTAACTCGTCCCTGAGCTTTGCGCGCAGAACTGGGTCTGGCAATTTCATAATCTGAATTCAGTTCCAAGAACATGGATATATTACTTATTACAGGAAACTATAAGAAAGGAACACGTTCCTTCACATTATTACGAGAATTCTACAAAAAAATTGAATGAGAAAAAATATGAAACCTAAAAGGACAACAATATAACAAACAAACAAAGAGAGGTCAATCAGAAGCAGCAATCCAAGACGCAGCAGCAACAGAGAGCAGCACAACTGCAAATGAACGGAGCCCATATTAGGGACTGCAATGAATAGAAATCAAGAAAGCAACAATGATTCATTAAAAAAAAAAAAAATAATAATAAAGAAAGAAAGAAACAGAGAGAGATTCTGATGAAGACAAATCACAAACTCAACAACTCACCATCCCTCCCAGAAGCCATCACCCCTGGTTGTGGTTTTCTGAGGAACATCCGCAGAGACAGAATCCATGGAGGGATACCCCATCGGCGGAGGAGCACTCACTGACGGTGCCTGTGGATATGCCATCACAGGAGAAGGATATGACACTGCTAATTCATGAAATGATAGAATTGTTAATCCCATTTTCCAGCACAACATAATCATGCAGCAGAGTACGTCGCAGCTTAATTGTCTGAGAGAGAAAACTTACCGGGAGGAACTTGTTGGTTGGAATGATTCATAGTTGCAGAATAAGGATGAAGATGACGATGATATTATGAACTATAGGAAGAGAGAGGCAGAGACGAGATTGAGAAGATATACAATGGAGGATGTGAATGAGTATGAGATTGAGATGCTAAGATATATATATAAACAGGTACAGGTGGGTGAAACGAGGGCGGCTGTGCTTGAAGGAAGGTTCGAAAGGAAGAATGTGAAAGCGCGTGGGACGAAGACGAGAGACGAAAAGTGGTCGGGGAAGGCAGATTCGGCGAAAGGATTGACGTTTCATAGGTTGCTTAATGCTCCGTTTTTCCTCTGAAAGTTGTGACTGGAGAATATTATGTCCTTTGCTTTACTTAATTGAAATGACGTCCAAAGTTCACACAGAAGAGAGAGAGAGACTCAATTTTTTTTTTTTTTGGAATTTGGCATTTAAGTACCGTTTCTTTTTAAACATTAATTATATTTTAAACTATGAAATTTTAAGACGGGGGGAGTGTACGTGTTCTTTAGTTGGGATTAATTTTTTAAATTTCACTTGTTATCTTCAACATTTTTATATTTTTATTAGTTATCTTAACTCTTTCTAATACTCATCTTTATAGTTTTAATATTGAGAAAAATTATAGATAAGTATTTTTCTTTTTCTGGATAAGATAAAGATAAGTGTTTTTTAATACAAAACACTTGAAATATAAATATGGTGTTAAAAATATTTAAAATGATCGCTGAATATTAAAAAACTTAATGCTGGAAATGTGGAAAATGAATACTGGAAATTGGGAAATGAATGTTGAAAAAAGTAACACCAAACTTTTTAATACTAGTCAAAGACTATAGTCATTTTTTTAAATTTTAAAATCCTTAATTGTAAATAATATTTTTAGAGGATGTTTAAATGTTTTTTCCCTTCTCTTTGTGACACGTGGAAAATAGAAGATAAAGGAAAACTAAGATAATATTTCATCAGACATCAGTGCAAAGTACAAACACAGAAAAACAACATTCATGACAACTTTTTTTCCTTAAAAAAAAAAGGCCTGGACCATAATTTGTGAAGAGTAAAACTGACGTGGTCCTTCACTGTACAAGCCCATTATCACACTCCAAAGGCCCATGTGATCTTATGTGCCATAGGAAGAGGGAGGCAGAGAAAAAATTGATCAAGGTGATGTAGAATTGTTGATTAATGAAGGACGTGAACGAGATTGAGATGTTATACAGATTATATATATATATATATCTATATAGGTATAGGTGGGTGGAGGCTATGTGTAAGGTGGTATTTGAATTAAAATGAACATTCGCTCAAGTAGATCACATGGTTAGTTAAGGCAGAGTAATTAAAGTGTCAGGCTTAATATAATAAAAGGGGTCGGTCTTGAGGATCAATAAGGGCCACATGTCAAAATCTCGTTAGCTATAAATATTAGATTATTACACAAAGATACGATCTTAAATAATGTCAAAATCTACGCCTAAGTACCTCGATGAAACAGGTTGGTTACCAAAATGGAGAGCATGGAATAAAGACAGCGCTATAAGTTTGGTAGATCATTGATTCTTTGACAAAACGTTTAGGGTTTTAAGGAAGAGGTTACCGCTACTCTGACACTATAATAAAAGAAGAAAATATAGAAGAAACTAGTCAACATTCAATTAAAGACTCACAATTTTACATTTGTTAGCTCTTTTTAGTTTTCAATTTTAAGTTTGTAACCTTTTCACATTTCAATAACAATCTAATACTTGTTCTATCAAAGCTTTTTTATTTTTTATATCCGAGTGAACTGTGGTAAGGAAGCTTAGAATTCTTTTATTATTATTGAGACTCAACGTCTCTAATATGTCTGGTATTTTATGGTTAATCACGAACAGGTAGAGTAAAGGAAGATTCGAATAGAAGAAGACTGTGAGCACGCGGGAGAAAAACATGAGAGACGAAAAGTGATCGGGGAAGAGATTTTCTGGGAAGGGATCAACTTTTGCGAGGATGCTGAATGATGCTATTGTGTTCTCTTGTTTCTTTCTATTTTTCTATTTTTTATAATTTTATCATCCAGTGTCTTAGAAAATTTGGGGTAACATTATTACATACTTAGTACTCAAATTCAAACTCAAGACTGTAAGTTGGTTTCAACTCCTTTGATTAATAAAAACCAAACATTCTTGATTTCTCTGCATTTCCCCCTCCAAAAGTTTAAAATATAATATTTCTCTTTGCTTTGCCATTGAAATGAGAGCCAAAGTTGCAGACAAAAGTAATGGATTTTAATATCCATGACTTTCAATAATTAAAATATGCATATTAAAAAAATGAATCACACAATTGTTAGACTTGAAAACCATCAAAAAATAACCATGTTTAATAAGGACGTAAAGAAACAAAAACTTCTAATAATTCATCAGATCACCAAGTTATGCTTTCTTCACGACTTCACCCTAAACCAAAATGATTACGATTGTTTCCAAGTATTCAGCTGAGAACTAATTAAGTTCAAAATGGCTGAGTGAACATATAAATAATAAAGACTTGTCATCGTAAGCATGTATACATGTTGATTTTACTTTCATGTGGTGAACAGGATAGTGCTGGTAGAAGTAAACGTCTAAAGCCTCATCTATACGTTTATCTGTACA